CGAGTCGAGATCTGAATGGCTCGCAAAAAAAAAAAAAAAAATACATCGTCTAGCTTAACGGCCGAAAATTCTACATTTTTGAGCCCAAGACACATAACGAGACGTACGCACGTGTCGTCAATTTCATTCTTATAAACTAGACTTCAAGTCATTTAACACGAGTTTACTAAGCTCGAAGCTGCCGTACCTGCTGTGCCTGCCGTATAAACGTTAATCAAGATTTTTTTCATCTTTTCATTCTTCTTCTTCGTCTTCTATTTTTTTTTTATTTTTTTTTATTCTTACATACGATATAAGTTTTTAGGAACACAGGCGCACGCGTGCAAGCATACCATGTATACATTTATATACGTATGGGTATATGTAATTAGACATCGACTGAGTAAAGTAGGTGAGACACGCAATAATTTTCAATTCGTTAAGTCGGGAAATTATTGTCTTGCAAAATGTAAAAGTAGTATTGTCGTAACAAATAAGCCAATGTTATAACGGAACGAGTCGGTTATAAGCACACGAGAGAGATACAACAAGCGGCATAGATAAAGAAAAATGTTAAAAATGCCAGATTTACGACTTTATACTCGTAATTATTATAATGACTTTGATGTATGTCAGTTATGATTATGAGAACTTAGGAGTACGTCGAACTCACCAGCGAGAGCTTAGGAAAGATCCGAACCGAGGACGACTGATCCCTAAGAATCGGCGCTCTAATAAAACGAGCTCGTCGCTAATTTTGCACGGCCATGGCTCGAGGGGCGTAAGGTTGGATACGGTGGGCGGGTGGGCTGGTTGGAGCGGGCGTGGGATGCCGGGAGCGGAGGGGGTGGTTGACGGTGACGGCGGTCGAAGGGCCAAAGGGAGCGAGTGGCGGTCAGCCGATGCGGATATTACGCTCGGCGGCAAGTGCAATCGACTCCGGTCGATGGACCCGCGGCAGCGTGACGCCCCGTAACGAGAGGAGGATAGGGTAACGCCTAGCGTGAATTCTCTTTCCAGTCGGTGCTCATATGTGCTGCCGCCTTTGCCCGAGCGGCACTCGTTGCATCCCTCGGGCCTTTCCTCGCTCCTCGCGTTGCCACGCGTTGCAAAAGTCGGATGACGAAGGCGGCAATGGTCTGTCTTACGCTCGCTCGCCCATTATTCATACCTCCCAATCTAGTGGTAAATGAGTGGTCCATTGGCTATCGCTGGGCTTGACGTTTTCGAGACTTTCGTGCCCCTTTATGGAGATGGGTTGTTTGGAGAAGGGATCACGGAAAGCGAGGTGGGACAGGCCCGTCATACGTCATCCCGTTATTGGAAAAGTTCCCGTGCACGTGGTGGTTGGCGAGATTCCATACCGATGCTTAGCCAAGTCTTTTAATAGATTTTTTTTTTTTTTTTTTTTTTTTTTTTTTTTAATAATTATTGGAACTAGAGAAGACTTTTGCAGCCGACATACGATATAGGAGAAACGTAAGCCATTGATGCTACGAAGATACATACGGCCATATCACGGATGTTATTTAACATTGAATTTCTATCGCTGCTTCCTCGTTTCAACGTCCATTTTTCCTTTATTACAGCTAACCATGGCATCACGGCCTTTAATCAGACGCACTTTTGAAAATCGGCGGCATTCGAAAAAGTGAAGAGGGAGAGAGAGAGAGAGAGAGAGAGAGAGAGAGATTAGCGGATCGTTGGTATGTCGGTGCATCCCATTGAATCTTGGGGGCGAATAAAGCAAATAAACTCTTTAAACAGTCATGGAGTTTTACATGCTCCGAAAGACAAAAATAGGAGTCCCTGAATTCCATTCCCCAGGAATCTCATAATTGACATCCTATCCACTTTTTACGCGGCGCGCGCCTCTTCCTACTTCCCGTGCTCGCTCGCCGCTACTCCTTCGCCACTCGACTAGCCCTCATTTTTTTTTCACTTCTCCCCCGACTCCACCCGCCACCCGCGCGACTCAAGGCCCATAATAGATAAGCCGTACGAAGCCTAAGCTCGTGCGAAATCCCGCCTCTGACCGCGAAGCGTCCGCGCACCGGTAATCTTACGGTCTTAAAGGCGGGAAGGCTTTTTACTCGGGGCTGCTCGAACCGGCCCCGGACGTGGCTGAAACCTGTTCGAGATGCGCTGAGTCCTCTTTGCAGTCGACGTCATAAGTGCAAAATAGCGAGGAGAATGAGGGACGACGGAAAATTCTCGAAGCGGCGCGATTTTCAATTACCGGACGATGATATGCGCCAAGTCGGGAGACGAATTAAGTCACGACTCTCGACGCGACTCTCCATCTCTCTATACAAATTCTCTTCTCTCTCTCTCTCTCTTCTCTCTTCTCTCTCTCTCTCTCTCTCTCTCTCTCTTTCTATCTATCTATCTATCTATCTGCTAATCGACATGATCCCGGATGATTAAAAAATTTTCGAGTGTAAATCGACCGTAGAAAAAGCATGCAAAATTGACATTCGGAGAGAGAGAGAGAGAGAGAGAGAGAGAGAGAGAGAGAGAGTGGTAGTCCAGGATCTAAAGGAAATACCAATGAAATACAAACTCAATTATGATTTAGGTCGTAGTCATTTACTTCCTTTTACCGGTATTCTAGTATAGTGCAGTCGCAGACCACAATAATTGATATAATAATGAGATATAACCCGGTCGCAGGTAGAAGGAAAAAACATCGTACGAGGTCGTAGAGAGGCAATTTGAACGCTTCCATTGATTTACCTGCGAAACAATCGCAAGCGAAATATCGCGCGATATTCAATATTGTTGTAATTACGTCGCGAGCACGAGAGGTACGTACAAAGTGTGGACCGTGACTTGAAATATTATTACGCGACCGCTACAATGGGCAGCCAGAATTATGCAAAAGCGATTGGTCCGCATTATGCTAAGTAGAAATGATGACGTAAGCTCATCGACGCGCTTAGGCCCTCCCATGGAATGTCTCTGAATTCACACTCGTTTGGCTAGCCAGGCCAAGTGCGGCAGGACGGGTGGGCTAGGGAGATGGTGAGGTAGTGGAGTGGGGTGAGGTGGTAGAGATAAGGGGAGGTAAGGGTGGGGTCCGCGCCGCGCCCATCGCTAATCGCATCGAATATCGCTGTAGAAGCATCTAATTTTTCAATTGAAGAAGCACCGGTTCCTCCAGTTGCATGTCATTGTGATATTCCGATTCTTTGATTCTCTGTATGGCGTAGAAGTTTTTTGTGAATTTCATACTTAATGATACGACGTACGAGCGCGTTTACCCTTAAGCAGTGTTCTTTATTCTTGAAATTTCACGGAACATTGCCTTTCTTGTTCCATCGTGTCAAAACTAATTAGCTGGCTACCTTCGGATGTCGTTTTTCGTGGAATAATAATGTTACAGCCTAATTATTATTGTTCGCCTTATAGAGGTTGAATTTTTTTTTTTTTTTATTTTTGGTAAAAACGATATTGGTGCGGCAATGTGAAAAATAATTCTCGGTACTATTTTTAGAGGAGCAATTTATTAAAAGAACATTGTCGTTCTACGAATGATTAAAGCACTACAAATTTGTTGATATTTTAATATAATGTTGATAGTGTTAAAGGCATCAAAATTATATAAGAGGTTTAATTAAAACGAAAAAATTTTAAATAATGTTTACGAGATAGCAATTTCTATATTCGCGTGAGTCTATGATTTATAAATTAATGCTTATCATTAAATGAACAAAAGCTAAAAAAGAACAAATTATATTATAAATTTTATTTTTGTAATAAAAACTTTATAGATAAAGAAAAATTCGTCTTTTACTATAATTTAATCCTATACAACATATCATCATTTGCAATAATATCAGTTAGATCTTTAAGAGAAGACATTTTATCATTTATCATTAAATAAATCATTTGTAATTCACTGCATTAGAATTATGTATTCGAGAGAGTGATTATTCAAATTTATTGTAACATGAATCTTAGTAATAAAATAATTATAACTTAGTCCATCTGAATTTACATAAAATTAATTAGTATTTTGAAAATCAAATGAATACACTATCGTCTCGTTAAATCATAAGGAATATGCATTAAAAAATACGTTTTTACTACAAAGTTCTTTTCCTTTTAATATTAAATTACATACTTACAAGATGTTGTAATAAATTGAAAGTTTAAAATTTAATGAATCAAAGCAAATTATTTGAAAATTTATTTTAATATTGAAATCTTCGCGTATTATTAATATTAAGTATCATTAAAACGCAATGGCATCGAATAAATAACTCTTCATTAAAATAATAACCAGATTATTCAGTTTAATATTAAATTTAAATTTAAAAATATTTATCAATCTTTCGTTAAAGTCGTTGATCTAATGATGCGATACATTCCTTTCAAAACTATTCATTTTAGCTCAAAATAGATTTTGCCTACGTAAAGAGTTTACAACGCAGGATATTAATTGGATACAAAATTATTTAATTATAAATATGTATACGTTGAGTATTAACATTCGATAATTTTTTGCGCTTGATATTATTATCAAAATATTTTAATAACACCGATATTAAATTTTACGATAAAATTGCATTAACTTTTCTACAACTTTTTTAAGAGAGACACAAGGACAAGTTATTATCCTTTATCCATTACATAGATAATTGTATATTTTAATTCTTAACGTTAGCTCACCCGTTGAAAGTTACATAATTTTTTTCTCAAGCATTATAATATATAGATAATATGTAGAAAAATGAATATTCATCATAATGTGGAGTTTGTGCATAATAATTGTGAACAATTTTCTTATGTGCAATTATTATTTCATGTTCAAAAAAATGTCATTATAAATTTTATTCAATATGTGGACAAAAAAAAATCAATGATGTAATTCATAAGATTTTAATCCAAGAAATTAGTAAGTAATTGGTAAATATGCATTGGAAAGAGTTTTTTCCTACATAAAGTACATAAATCAATTCATCAACGCTGGTTTTATTTTCATGATTAATCAATTAGTATAATCATTTAACACTTACCATGCGAATGTATTTCCCAATCATTTCTGAGAGTTGTGCGGCCCTGGTGGTGTGCAAAGGAAGCCGAACGCCTGACGCTACTTGAAGGGTGCAAACTCCTGCCCTTTGACTGCTGACCGAGATAATCTCTTCAAGAGGTAGAGTCTCGAGGATGATAAGGTCACCGCTGTTGCTTCTCTTGATTAATCTCAATCCGTGGTGGGATACCGCGACATGTTGGACGTCCGGATGTTGGGGCCCGATCTAAAGTTTTATATTATTTAACGAGGACATAGGATTTATATGCAATCGAAGTACAGGGGAATGCGAAATGTTATTAATGAAATGAAAAAATCAATGTTTCAACAGCTGTCGCTAGGTTCTTTATACTTGATTGAGTTTTTTCTTTATAAAAGCGGCGAGAAACGAGATTTTCGTCAATAATTCGTTAACTTTATATTCGCAAGAGGGAAAGGACAAGGAAAAATATTAATAGTATCTTATTTTAAAAGATAGTATCGTCTATTGAAAGAATATTTTAAAAAATACTTGAGAAATGCAAGGATTGTTCGATTCGATTCGAATTAGAAAGTTGCGTGCATGAGCATCAATGCAAGTAAATCTGTTATCCGAAATGCAATCTCACGAAATACGAATTTAAGAATATTTTCCAACCCTATTGAATGACGTGCCGAATGTTTATACATTGTAGCATCAAATCAATGTTTTCGTATAAAAATTTTCAAAAGAAGCAATAAAGTAGTCAAGGCAGTAGTAACTGGCAGTAGCAATAAAGAAGGATTAGTTACGTAGCTCGCGTATTGTCCTTGTAAATGCAACGGAAGGAAAGACTAAAGATATATAAGAATAATAAATAAAGCTACTGACCGAAACGGGGAATATTCTGGCGAAATAAAGTGGCCACTGTTTGGCCATGTCGACAACGTTTTTCTTGATTGTGATCTTGTGTTGTGTACTTTGCAGATTGTCCAGGGTAATCCCATAATTATCAAGCAACTTCAGCATGTTTTGTCTGTCCTCCTTGGATATTCTTATATTGGAGGTGGCGAGGACATCGTACGCCACTTGGCAGAACACTAGATGCAACGCTAATGGAGTGGTCAGATTCTCGTTGGGTGCAAACACCTCCTTCTTGACGCGTAGAGTCCAGGTGACGCGATTGTACGTGAAGTGGGTGCTCGATGTTTGTGGATAGAGTTTCGTATCGACGATCTCCTGGACCTTTTCAATTTCCGGCTTCTCGGCTGGTGGCAGAACCGGTTTCAGGAATTCTGGCCATTCCTCGATCTCGATTCGTTCCATTTTATCCGTACGCTGTGTGCCCTTAAGCAGAGATCGAGATGAAAAGTGGCCGATTTTCGAATTAGGACGCAACTTAAGCTAAACATTTAAAAATGATTTTAGATCGACGACATTGAGGCAAGTCGTCAGTCTATTTAGAGATGAAAGCGAATGATGTTTATCGTCTCATTAGAGCAATTTAGAGTAACGTATAATAAAGTTTGTTTACTTTGATAAGATTTGGAAAAATAATTTAACAAGCAACACCATTTAAGGTAGGCACTGCTCGCTTAATGTAATATGCCAAGTGAGTGCCTATTACTAACGAAAGACTAGTGGTGCTTTTGTTTAGCCGACGAGGTAGGCGTTCGAGATTTGCAAGGTGATAAAAGCTTGGATTTGCGAGCTCACCAGTGTCGATGCAACGCTGGATCGGCGATCGGCATCGCCGTCGAGCTTCTTGAAACTTTGCCTGGCCACGGCAAATGAGTCGCGCGTGTTGGCCACTACGCCAATGTCCCTGGACGAGGGCATCCCGAAGCTGTCTCTCGATTTTGGCGAGACATCCCGCGCCATGCCGAAAGGATCCCTTTTGGCATTCGAACTGTCGAAGACGTCTCTCGCGTACTTTGTGTCGGAGAATATGTCGGAGCTGAGGTCCCTGCGTGAGTCAAAGTCCGAGTTACGGTCCCTCGTGGCGGAGGAGCCAAGGTCTCCCATATCTTTCCCGTAGTAGTCCTTGGTACTCAACGAGTCCTGGATACGAGACTTATCGTGGTAGTCGCTTCTGTACTCGTGCTGCTGGTGCTGCTGCTGCTGCTGTTGTTGTTGCTGATGCTGGGACGAGAACATGTCGCGACTTTGCATGAATATCTCGCGCTGACTCTTGATGAATTGGTCGAAGGCATCCGAGTCCGGAGAGGCGCGGAACACGTCGCGTTGACCCTTAGGCTCGATCGGTGCTGGCGGTGAACGGGGTTGAGCGACCCCGGTCTGACTGTTGAAGGGGAGACGAGAGGATGAGTTTTCATTTATTTACGAAAATTTGTATTACACCTCTTATCACGTTTTATATCCTCCATGCACTTTTGTGATATTCTGTCTGTCATGTACAATGCACTCTTTGTTATCATCATTATTGTTCTTATTATTGTTATTATTATTATTATTGTTATTATTATTATTATTATTATTATTATTATTATTATTATTATTATTATTATTATTATTATTATTATTATTACAACTACGAGCTATCAGTTTTGAAGTTAAAATTTCCAATTAACCGTGACGATCAAATTTTGCTTTTTCGTTCTAAGCTGATTTTTCAAATCCTTGTCCTCCCCCAACCCTTAATTTAAAAAATCCCATCCACCATTGCAATTGTAGCGCAAGGGGATGTGCGAGATTAACGCAAGAACGCTATTATCCGTCTACCGATTATACAGAGTATTATCTATCGATCGGTGTTGCTCCACCCGCTTATTATGAAAATTGATCTCGTTCCGTCGATTAAGGGGGGGGGGGTAAAGGCGTAACCGAGTGAATTTCCAACAAAGTCACTTTTGAACATGATTTATTAATAGAAAATGTAAACAATGAGTCTTTATCATCAGCTGAGATTGCACGGCGAGAGATTTTACAAGCGCCGGCGCAGGATGAAGTCGCGAGGCCGCTAATCTCGTCGCGGCCCAGTTCTCCCGGCCACTTTCGCCCGATGAATAATTCACCGAATATAAAGGCCGTCCTTAAATCCTTACCTGTTGTTGAAGGCACTACCGCCCCGTGGACTGGGTGGCTGCGGGGGCGTAATGGGTGGCGGTGGTGGCACAGGCCGCTCCATCCTTTCGATCTGAGTCTTCACAACTTGGGCCTGCGTCATCATGTCCGTGGTGCCTTTGGACGTGACGCTTTGCGTGTCGTCGGCCGTCGAGGCGTAATCATCCCACCTTCCTCCTGTGCGTGCAACCGAGGTGAAAGGAAGTTATACAAAGCGATTCTTCGCTTATGTGCATACGATACGACCGCATTTGCACAATAGGCCTATACGTTACTGAGACACGTACGTACTTACACCCGAGAACTTAATGCTTTCTTCATTTTAGACATGTGTGCATTCAATACACACACACACACGCGCGCGCGCGCGCACGCACGCACGCACACACACACATATATATATGTATATATACGGAGACTGAATCATTGACGCGAATCTTGTTGTTTGCTCGTGAGAAAGAATTCGAACGATGAGTTATGCATTAATGGATTTGAGAAATAAGTATCGGAAGAAGAATCGATGCGACCATCCATACATTTGATTACTTTAGACAATTAATTTGTATGTGCATTACATAATTCAGAGATTTGATGAGTTTATCATATTGGGTATTATCATTTAAATTTTCAGAAATTTTAAACTTCTACTTTTTACTTAAAAATTAAATTAAATTTTTCGATTCTATACAAATGTGTTTATAATGCATTTATGAATCACATAAATTCTTTTTGAGTAATATGTAATAAAAAAAAAGATAATTTAAGCACCGAAACATTTATCTACTTACAGGAAGTACTCGGGCAAACAAGATATTTAAAAATTAGATATAATTCATCGTGCATTCATAAACATTCACGTCACAATTCTCGCAACTAATATAGCTTTATGTTTCAAGTGCATTTGCGCCGTGAATCAGAATATTTGCAATAATTTACCTAATTGCTGTTCCAGAAGAAGTTTCCTATTATCTTCAAGGCGCTTCACTTTGCCATCGTCACGCAATAAAGCCGGTTTCTCAGTTGTTTTGGTCGACCGAACGCTGTGATTGGCCGTTACTTTCTCGAGTCTCTGCCTCATCTCCGAACTTAGTTTGAGCTTCCCGATACTACCTGGCGAAGGCCTTTGTGCGCCAATTTCAAATCCAGATCTGAAAAGTTTTTGTAAAGCCCAATAAAGCGACAATGGCCGTATCCTTAAGGAGGTTGTAATGCTCGTTATTTAACAAATTATTATTTCCATTTAAATGTGCGTAAATGTATATGGCAGGGGATTGCGAATTGCGAATTGCGAAATTTTACTATGTAGCATATGAGTTATTAGAAACGTCAAAGTCAGTGCTTCGTTGCAATTTATTTGTAATGGCTAATCATTCAAATTTGGTTGCAACACACAATCTAATTTGTCATCTTTTGAATATGTATGCATTGCGCATATGTGCAGCATAATTTGACGAAAGAAAAAAATAATACAAACATTATTAATTTTACCCTGGCAGTTTTATCTTTCATTTACAATTTCATATGAGTAAAAGCATTACGGCCTCCTTAAATTAAATTAAGATAATGACTACTGACTTCTTTTTCTTTTTCTTCTCACTTTCTTCTTTGTAGCCATTTTCATTGCGTACGGCTGCCGCTGATGAGTGCACAACCATAGTTCTGTCGTCACTGTTAACGATGTTCTCGATTTCAAATTCTTCCCATTCGACACCACCTTCAGTCATTGGCTCGTTATCTCCATGCTGATACTCTTGATACTGAGGAGTAATTTTACGTAACTGGTGTTGTTGTCGCATTTTGAATTCAATGAAGCTGTCTTGGCCTTGAATCTCATTGGAGTCACTCGGAGGTGGCCATCTGCGATAATTACATCGATTTGTCATAAAAATTGTATTTCCTTAAAGGCTAATTAAGGAACTAGAATAAGAGGAATTGATTACAAAAGTAATGAATTAAAGTGTTGAGCTACACGACCGCACGTTTACATAACAATGCAATAAAGTGGAATGTACGAAGTGCCACATAACATATCCTTTTTACTTCTTAGCCTTTTAGTGCTGATTTAATCGTACTTTATTGCCACAATTACACGTTAAGCTACCTTTAATGATGTTTTTACTTCTTAGCCTTTTAGTGCTGATTTAATCGTACTTTATTGCCACAATTACACGTTAAGCTACCTTTAATGATGAAATTAATGCGTAAAATTTTTTTTTTTTTTTTTTTTTTTTTTTTAGCATTATTACACCTTGGATTACGCAAAAATCGCAAGCGTAGGCACAAAATTTCTCCTTTCTTAATTATATTTTATGACACTATTTTTTAAAATTGCCATAAAATACAATTAGTTTAATTTCTTTTTTATCATCATGCGCGTTCATTTCATAAGTATAAATAAATCATCTCACCTCCATTTGCCGATGCGAACGGTCTTTGCTCTTCCGTAAGGATCGATAAAGGGTCGCGATTCTGATGGATCGTGAGATTCAAGTGGTGGCGGCATCGGCGGCGGAGGAGGTACTCCTTTACTATTGACGTTCGCTGGCCCTTCGACGCTACTTTTTCTATTTTTGAGCTCGCTCAATACATTTGTGAAATTATTCTGAACGTTGCCTTTATTAGCACTACTTCGTTTTACGTCCACCGAGTTGGCAATTTTTCTATCGGTGCTGATTTTCCTGGCGCCAAAGTCGATGCCGGACTTGCGAGACGGATCCAAACACTTTTTCGGCGGACTCTGGGAGCGGTGAACCTGAGCTTTTACCGTCACTGTGTCTTGCCGTCCATTCGTTGCCGATGATGACTGCATATCGCCATCTTCTTGGAACGATGCCTGCGATAAAATAACTTCGAGTTATTTTGGTCGTTCGATAATTCTTAAACGTAACAACAGTCTAAATCTATCCTCCCCCCACCCCCCCCAACCCCACCCCCCACCCCACTCCGCCACCCGTCGATTCGATCACTACATTTTCTTTAACGTTTATATGGTCGTTTCATCATAGAATTTTATGGATTGTTAGATAATACAAGAACAGCCGGGCTGAGAAATACAAGTTAAAAAGACAATCGAAGAAAAGCCAAGTAAACTAACCGGCTGATTAGAATTAGGACTTTGAACCAGGAGTTGCTGAAGAGCTTGATTCTGAGCGAGCAATTGCTGTTGTATCTGTATGTTTTGAGCCATAGCGCTCTGCAAGAAAGCCCTCTGAAGATTCTGCTGGTAGGCGGCCATGTCATTGTTTTGACTGGGTGGTGAGTTGGGATATTGCGGGATGGTGGGACCTTGCATGTTGAATATCGGTACCGGGACGAATCCCGGACCCATATTGATAGTCGGACTCTGTGGCGCTGGCACTTGTTGCGTCGGGCCGAAAATCGGCATCATCATCGACGATGACATCATGGGGCTGTAATTGAAGCCGCCGTTCTGATTAGGTATATCCATATTTCCACCGCCTTTGATCTTCTTCGACAGCTCCTCTGCCGTAACTGAATTTGTAGAAGTTCTTGGCGTGTCTAAAACGTAAGAATTTGTCGATTAAATCTCACGACGATCGTGAACGAAATAATTGTAAATAGATTTTTATGGAATGCAAACACACGTCAATAAATGCGTATGTTGATAATACAGCGTAGACACGAGATCATAAAATAGTTATAAAAATATGGAATTATTAATGATAAAATGAGTTAATGAACTTTTGAAAACTATAAGGCAGCTTAACTTAATCTCAAAATTCAATATTTCAGAAGGAAATTTTTATTAATTTTCAGCACTACACTAGAAAAGTAGTTTTTTTTTGTTTTTTATTCTTCTGTAATTAATTACAGAATTGTGCTATCGTGCTTCCTAATCTCTGATGATTTATACTATTGCTTATAAGAGAGCTAAATATAATAGGCAAGTGAGTAGTTTCGTACTGTATGCATAGGCGAATTTACGAGTGCAGTATCAATACTGTACTTTAATTATAGATTTGTTACGGTAAAGACGAAGATAAACGAGAATAAAAAGAAATGGTGGAGAGAGAGAGAGAGAGAGAGAGAGAGAGAGAGGAAGGGGAAGAATAGAAAAAAATCCTTTATTAAGGCTAAGAGTTAAAGTGGTTATATACCATGTATAAGTGAGTTGATGAAATCTTGTGTGTTCCGAGCCAGATTCTTATCAGCGTTTCTCATTCCCTTGATGCTGGCAGCGAGACTCCTGGCATCGGATAATTCATCTAAATTACCGTCGAGAACGGGCATGAAAAGCTCGTCCAAGAATTGATCGACGTCGGATGCTTGACTCGGCACCCGGACCCGGCGCACATGGGACGCTAAGGATGGCGCCTCGCTTGTGTCCGACATCGCCGACGATTTCACGCCATACTCGCTCTTCTCAATGTAAGCTCGGCTCGATTGACTTCCAGGCAGGGCTCGTTTGCCTGGTATTTAAAAAAAAATATCTCTTTGTAAGCTACTTTCATTCTTTCCTTCTTCCTTTCTTTCGTTCTTTCTTTCATTTTTTCGTGCCGTTGAAAGAGACAAACAAGCATGAGAAATAATTATGCAAAGAAATTATTTACATCGAATGGCACTTTTATGAAATTCTCGAGCGTGAAATAAATTTGTCACTATATGTATGACCGATATAATTAAATTTGACGTTAAAAATTAATTTAGAAATTAATTATATAATGGAGTTTGTGGAGACTATAAGCTCCTGTATTTAAGTTATCCGGCCAATTTAGAAATTGACGCTGTAAAATTCTCAAAACAATAGCACAATCAAGCTACGTTGCATTTCGAGTTTAATATCACAATTAAGTCTTTTAATAAATCATCATTAGACAATGTTAGTTCAATTTGGAATGAAATTTCATCGTTAATCATTTGCCAGAGACAATATTAAAAAACCATGAATAAAAGGTGACGCTCTAATTAAATATAAGGACGAAGCATTTGAGTTTGAAAGTCATGGAAAGCCCAATTTACCTGGGTACTGGGACTTGATGAATCTTGTCTGCGATCTTATGTAGCTACTCTTGTCGTCCTCGGACCTCCCGGTCTGGCTGACCGACTGTATATCCGGATACTCAAAGTCGAGCGTAAGGTCCTCCTCTTCGAGTATATTAGGCTCGGAGCTCCTGGTCATCCTGCTGTATTTGCGCTCGGGTACGACTTGCACCTCGGACCTCGTCATGTACTCGGCGCTACCGCCACTCGGCACCTCGCCGATCCTCTCGAGGCTGTGATAGCGCTCGTTCAGCTTGGACGAGGACAGTCCGAGATCCGCGAGTTTGCTCACCGCTGAAGGGCTCACGCCGCCCACGCCAATGTCCTCCCCGCTGATCTCAGCCTGCAGGAGGTTGTCGAGGCTACGGCTGCGCTGCTTTTCCTTCTCGAAGTAGCGGTCGTTCAGCGCGGACTTTCGCGACAGGCCCATCTCGACCGTCGATTCTAGGACAGCTTCATGGGACTGCTTGCGCATCTGATGGTCGGAAAGTGGGAATTAGCTTATTGGGCGCTCGGGCCTCCCGTATTCTGGATTATGCAAAGGCTCTGTGTGGTGGTTGATGTGGAATAGCGACACAAAGAGCAGCGATTTGGATTGTAACGGGAAGAGAAAATTGAAAGCGCCTTGAAGGCTACGTCGCGAACGAGCCTTGACATAGGCACTTTTTTGAATAAATTGTGAAATAAATAATGCCGTTCGATTATTGGTTGGACGATTAATACGATATCTATCATATCTCGGCTTCGATGTCTATTCTGATGTCCAATCAGCCTCGACACTCGAGTACATAAATATTAAAATTCTATGCAGCTCATAAATGCCGTAACTGTTTTTCTAAGGAGGAAAGCACAATTCACAATTTATTTTGTCAACGATATCAACGTTCGACTGCCAAGACGATTGTCGTAAAAGCTAAGATGATGTATGATGTTGATCGATGATTAAATATTAAAATTCATCCTATTTCATGAAAGACTTTTGATTTTTTGCTTATTTACGATGTCGAGGGTATGAGAAATTAAATAAAAACAAAAACAAATAAAAACAAAAACAAAAACCAGAAAAAAATAAGAAAAAAAAGAAGAAAAATTATTAAATAAAACCAGTCATAATCATAATCATATACGCTAATGTGTATACACGAGCATTCGTACGTAACTTTGTAATTAATATACGATCTACTTTTATTTACATAATATTTCTTTAGTAGATGGTAAGATTATTTTACGTAATGGACACGAGTATTTTTATATGCCTAATCAATGCAAGTGGTTAAATATTTTTCAATCAAGAATAATGATCAATCATAACGTGAAACATATCTTATGTAAAAGAAAAGTTGAAATGTACTTGTATAGTCATAGTAATGAAAAGAACCGATATAATTGTAAATTAACAACAAGATCAATCGAATTTATATTTTCGCTTTCCCAACAAGATTGTGACCTTTCAACCTGAAGTACGATTTACTAAATCGCACAAATCTTGGTTATAATATGTTATATACTGTGCTCGCAATTAAAACGAAAAATCTTATCAACAATTACGTATTAAAAAATTACGTGCCCATGCAAATGTAGGAGTAGAAATTTTGAATAAGTTAGACATGCAGTTACGAGTTGCCGTAATTATAACGACCTTGTATTATCTTTGTCAAGATAGGTCACATTTTTTCGGGAAATCCCGAGCGTCGCAAGTAGCTCACATCCGGGGGCATTTGATAAGCTAATAAACGTTAGTGAGGAATTTTTGATCAGCGCGCTAGGAATAAAAATGAATGAAGCGAAGCGTTGAATCTCCCGCGAAGGATCTCTCGCGGCTCTCGCAACGACGCAAACTCAAAGCGAAGATCCTCGTGATGCGATCGATATGACCTACGAGTCGAAGCCGCCGTGTCTCCCCCCCCCCCCCCCCCCCCCCCCCCCCA